GGTGCAGGACCAGGCAACATTTGGTTCTGTAGTACGTAGGGTTGCTATGAGTCAGAATTGACTCAATGGTACCTAACAACAACAACAACAACACAAATGAGTCAGAATCAACTCAACAGCACTGGGATTGGTGGTTGGTTATATATTACATTTATTACCAGGAAAAAAAAAAAGATGCCTAATCTGGACGATTATATATAATACAGACCCTCTAGGCTATTGTAAGGAGCTCTGGTAGCATAGTGCCTAAGGCACTTGACTGCTAACCAGAAGGCTGGCAGTTCAAACCCATCAGCCACTCCTCGGAAGGAAGATGGGGCAATCTATTTCCATAGTGATACTGCCTCAGCAACCCAAGGAGGGGTCACTATGAGTCAGGTCCAACTCGACGGCACACAACAACAACAACAACAGGCCATTGTATTGGTTCTTAATATCTGAGGGGGGAGTTATAGACCTTGAGAGACTGATGAGATCAATGATCTATATTCCCATATACACAAAAAAAAATGCACTTAACTACACATGGACTCACAAACACAACTTTGATAAAATTTCAGGTGGTCCACAGATTTGGTCAGTTGAGAATGTCTACTCTAGCTTAATCAGGATGGTCAGTGGGGAGAGTTCCTTGGGCTCAAGCATAAATTTGCCTGAGGGCACTCCAAGGTGGGTGTGAAGTGGAAGCAGTCACCCTGCATCAAGGCTAAATTCTTCCTGGATGCTCTGGAGTTAAGGAGACCACAGGTGAGAGGCCTAACAGGGTGTACTTCTCAGGCTAGGTAGGTGTCAGCAGTGACTAAGGGCAGAGAGCAGGCAGGCCTGGGTGCTTTCCTCTCAGCAATCACTTCAGCCTTCTTGAAAACCACCAGCTGCAGGGGTAGGTGGGAATGGTAATCCCCATAGAGTGAGATTCCTTGATGTGAATTTGATGGAGGGAGGGAGGAAGGGAAGGAAGGAACCCAAGACATCTACTCAGGTGACCAGCTTGGTCACCTGTCCATGGATATTTTTTGAGTGAGCAACAGTCAGGTGTCTGAGCAGGGAGTGAGAGGCTCTGGAATATGCAAAGGGTGGAAGGAACAGCACCTTCCCCACCTCTGGAGATAGTAGGGAGGATTGGACCATCTCTGCAGTCCTCAGACCCTCAACTGCCTTGGCCTCACAGCTCTTTGACCAGAACCAAATCACTAGAGTGGAACCTAATCCAGGGGCAGGTGTTCAAAACTGTCATGGTTACAGCCATCAAATCACAAGAGAGTCACACAGCAGTTAGCAATGGTTTGTGAACATTAAATAAATGTGTTTCTGTAACAGAACAAGACAGGATCATTTATTTATCCAACTTAAAAACTGTCCCAGAAGGAGAAAAAATAGGGTGTTATTTGTCCAAAATAAATGAAATAGGACTATTGAACATCTCCTCATGGATCAATTTACAGATCATGTGGAAATATGCTTGTCTTGTTGGGAAAATTTCCATTTTAGATGTTCAAATACCTTAGCATGTTTTGAAATGTCCCTACATGGCCAATAGAATTAATTTTCTATGGGATACAAATTAACCAAAATTAATGGTGCCTTATAATTTAAATTGGAAGTCCTTTTAAAATAAATAAATAAAACATGCCCTTCTTCTTTGTTGCTGTTTCCCACTCTGAATTCTTGTTTAATTGTATTTTCTTACTTGTTGTTGTTGTTGTTGTTGTTGTTATGTGCCTTCGAGTCGGACCCGACTCATAGCGACCCCTCCTTGGGTTTCCGAGGCAGTATCACTACTACTAGAAACATAAAACATGGTGATAGTTTTACAAACAAAACAAAGGAGTATTATAAAATGTACAGACCCCACTCTCAACTCCGTGCCTCCTCGCCTCTACTGGAGCAGAGACCATTGTGCACGGGAAATGATGGGCACAAGCATCTGGGAAATTAGAGGTGGAGAGAGGAGAAAGTGTCCAGTAGCCAAGGAAATGATGAAACTATTCCTCAACAACAACAAAGTAGAAATTGCCAATAGTCCTCCTAGAAAATGCAGTTCTTCCCTGGATACCAAAGAAAGGCAAAAACTGACAAGGACAAAGAGCTACTTTTGGCCCCGGGGCTACAAAGACACACACACACACACACACACACAAATGAGTGACAGGACCTGGTGTGACGGGATGAGGTGAAGTTGTGGGGTAAAGGAGGGGGCTCAAACTCCTGGTGGGAGTGGAAATTGGGGACCAGAGCTCACAGGCGATGCAGCTTTCACGTGACCAGGAGCTGACGTGGGCAAAGGTACTTAAAGCCCTGACCGCCGTCCTCCGTCCTCCTCTGGGTACCAACTCTATTGCGCTGTGCACAGCCCTGCGTTTAACCCAGGCGAGGAGGAGGAGGAGGAGGAGGAGGAGGAGGAGAAAATCCCCCAGATCCGGGCAGGTGGGTGTGAGGGTGGGCACGAGCTGGGAGCCCCGAGCAGGGGCAGCCTCCACATGCGGGAGTCCGAGGCAGCGGGCGCCTCTGCCTCGCCCACTCCTGGCTGGCTTTGCAGACTCCAGCGCTCAGTCTGCAGCTCATTTTGGTGGGCGGCGGGGAAAGGGGGAGGGGAGAGAGGAAAGACTTCGCTAGACTTCGCGAAGAATCCGTTTACTCCCTCTAGCAGCCAGTGTGGTTCTATTTTGTTTTTGACACTCAGGCCCCACACCCTACACCCGCTCCTGTTTTGAGAGGAGGGAAGATTAAGTAAATGTGACAGCGCAAAGAAGGCCAGTGGGGAGACCGGGAAAGGGTGAACGGAGGGGCACGGAATCTAGGAACCTTCCGGCCGATGCACTCCCACCCTCACTTTGCAGACACTTCGCGAGACCACTGACCCGCGCCCTCTGCTCCTCTGGCCCCCTGTCCTTTGGGGTGCTGAGAAATGGGTGTGCCAACCCCTGTGGGGGGGTGGGGGGTTTAGCGCTGAGCTTCACAGGAAGGGGGACCCTGAGAGAATCTGGGGTTAAACCATAGTACTGGCTCCCAGATTGCTTTCCAGACACATCTGGCCCACACCTCCCTTCACTTCTGGTCTTTTCAGTTCTGGAAAGGGAATTCGGGATCGCAGGCGGGAGAAATGGCGATTATCAGGAGATTTGGGTGGGAGGTGGGAGGAGGAGCCCAGAGTGGAGAAACAGTGGAAAATCACGACCGAACCCGAAAAGGCAGTCACTGGGGCCCCTGTTCTGCAGGCTGAGGCTAGGCCTGGGGTGGGGGTGGGGCCCGGGGCGTAGAGAAAGTGTGATCACAGGACGGGCACTCTTGATTGTTGGGCTGTAATCCTGGGTCCCGCCTCCCATCCTGCTTTCCCTGCACCTCGCCCCGCCCTCTCCCGATTCTGTGCAGAGAAGGGGTGTGGCAGCGTATCCCCGAGAAATGGCGGACGGGGGCGGGGGGGAGCGGGGCAGTGGAAGAGGGGGTTGAGTGACTTCGGAGACTGCGCCAGAGGGGGGGATGGGGGAGGGATGAGAAGAGTTGAGGGAATCTAAGAGGTGGAAACGTTTGACATTTTGGTATGTAAATTCTACAAGGCAGTTATTGAGTCTCTTGTCCTTGGTGTTGATCCATCCACCAGGTTCACACTCTCCAACGTCTGCTGTCCATATGTCTACCCTTCAGTCTGTCCTTAGGATGAAGTTCTAACTGAACTGAAGGAAGGATAAACAGCCCTGAATCCTTGGAGGTCAGTGCTGAGGGCTGGGGACTGCCTGGGAACCCCTGCTGTGAGTGTGACAGGAAGCAGGGCAGAGTATGGGATCAGAGGCTTCTCCTCCTCTTCCATCCGTTCCATCTTGACAAGACACCCTTGCCCCGCCCCCATACTTTTTGGTGCAGGGAAAGGGGTGTGGCGTCAGCCTTCTTAGGAAATAGTTTAAGGGAGAGGGGGTAGGAGAGGGAAGAGGAGCCCTGAGGGGGAGAAACTCTTAACCCATAGGGGTTCAAATCAGCAAAGGAACCGATATCAGACCACCAAAGACTAAAACGCCCTTTTCGGGGAGGGGTCTGTCCGCAGGTCTGTCTGCCTTTCCGGCCCTGCACAACTACAGTCTTGGAAGGAAAAAAGCAAACTGCTCCTGATTCCAGCAGGTTGGTATGTGTAGGAGCAGACCCTGGGGACCCTTGGGGTGGAAGTAGGGATCAGAGCAGAAACTTTCTTCACTCTCCACCATCTTTCTTGATGCCCATACTGTCTCTCAACAGAGCTCTGCTGATATTAAAGCATTCTTCTGCTAACCAGAAGGTTGGTGGTTGGAACCCACCAGCTGCTCCACGGGAGAAGGATGAAGCAGTCTGCTTCCATAAAGATTTACAGGCTTGGACCCAATAGGAAAGTTCCACTCTGTCTGGGAGTCGAAATTGAATCGATGGCAATGGTTCTATACTGCCTGCCATCCCTGGCTTAAAACAATCCCATTGTCATCCATTTGATTTTGACTCGTGGTGACCCCATGTGTTACAGAATAGAAGTGACCTCTATAGGGTTTTCTTGGCTGCGATCTTTACAGAACCAGATCACCAGGCTTTTCTTCCATGGGGCCACTGTGTAGGTTCTAACTGCCAACCTTTAGGTTAGTCATACAGCGCAAACAGTTTGCGCCACCCAGACTCCTAACCCCCATCTAGGTACTGGGAAATTGTATGCTGGATGGGGCAGAGCAAGCTAGGGATGAAGATGAAACACTGAACAACCAGGGTCCTGAATTAACAAACACAGGCCTTGGTACCTGTGTCCTGTGTGATATAGCCTGCCACCAAGCATTGCGTCCCCACTGTCTACTTGAAGCTGGCCTGGGTAAACACAAAGTGAGCCAGAGCCCAAAGTTTCATTTCTATCCTATACCACTAGGTCCTGCTCAGCTTTGCCGCCTCCGCAGAACTCGCTAACCTGAGCACAAGAACCTTGCCCAGACGCCCACGCATCCCCCTCTGGCAAGTCAGCTCTGTAATCTGGAGCAGAGCATCATCTCCGCTGCACCATGAGCCGAGTTAGGGATGCTGGCTGCGTAGCCGCAGGGATAGTGATCGGTGCTGGAGCCTGGTATTGTGTGTACAAATATGCCAGGGGAAGAGACCAGAAGAAGAAGAGACTGGCCAAGGCCAAGCCCAGGGCTGTAGCTGGGACTGGAGCCAGAGCTAGAGCTGGGCTAAAGGCAGGATTCACAATCGACCTTGGGCCTGGATTGGGTTCTCGGACCCCAGCGCTGGTTGGGGCAAAGGACAGGGCCCAGGATGAAACCTCTGCATTGGGTGCAGATGAAGCTGAGGCAGTGAGCCCAGCTGCAGCCAGTGCTGAGACTCAGAGTGGGGCAGGAAGTCAGGCCCCAGAGGCTGATGGGGCCAATGTTGGACTTAAGGCTGAATCAGTAGTGACAACTGCAGTGGCACCACCTCCCAGGGAGGCAGAGGCTCCTGAGGCTACAGAGGCTCCCACAATGCCAGGGGCTCCCAAACTGGCAGAAGCTCCCAGTGTACCTGAGGCTCCTGCAGCTGCGCCTCTGGTGGCAGCAGAAGCTGGGAGGGCAATGGAGTCTCCACTTGTGGCAGTGACTGCTGAGGTGAGAGAGGCTCCCAAGGTGCCAGCACCTACTGAGGTGATGGAGACTCCCCTGGTGGCGGCACCTTCCGGGGCTGCAGAGGCTCCTGGGACTTCTGGGTCCTCTAGAGGAGCTGCAGTTCCTGGACCAGCAGCAGCCAAGAGAGCGACCCCTGGGGCACACACTGGAGCTATACCTAAGGCTGGGTCAGCAACTGGAGCTGTACCGAAAGGTGGGGCCAAGGGTGCAACCAAGTCCCGTTCTGGAGGCAAAGGCAAGGGCAAGAAAAATAAAGTTGAAGTAGACGAATTGGGGTTGGGCTTCCGCCCTGGGGATGGGGTGGCGGTAGCTGCTGCAGCCTCAGCTAATGGAGGGCAGGCTTTCCTGGCAGAGATCCCTGATTCTGAGGAAGGCGAGTCTGGGTGGACTGATACAGAGTCTGAGTCAGACTCTGAGCCTGAGACCCAGCGCAGGGGAAGAGGGAAAAGACCCATTCCCATGCAGAAGCGCCCCTTTCCTTATGAAATTGATGAGATCCTGGGTGTCCGAGACCTCAGAAAAGTCCTTACCTTGCTTCAGAAAACCGATGACCCTTTCATCCAACAGGTAGCTCTGCTCACCTTGGGCAACAATGCCAATTATTCATGCAACCAAGACACAATTCGCAAATTGGGAGGCCTCCCGATTATTGCAAACATGATCAACAAAACTGATCCACACATTAAGGAAAAGGCGTTAATGGTCATGAATAACCTAAGCGAGAATTATGAAAACCAAGGCCGACTTCAGGTATACATGAATAAAGTGATGGATGATATCATGGCCTCTAATCTGAACTCAGCAGTACAAGTAGTTGGGCTAAAATTTTTAACAAACATGACTATTACTAACGACTACCAGCACCTGCTTGTCAATTCCATTGCAAACTTTTTCCGTTTGTTATCTCAGGGAGGTGGAAAAATCAAGGTTGAGATTTTGAAAATACTTTCGAATTTTGCTGAAAATCCAGACATGCTAAAAAAACTGCTCAGTACCCAAGTGCCAGCATCCTTTAGTTCACTCTATAATTCTTATGTGGAATCAGAAATTCTCATTAATGCCCTTACTCTATTCGAGATCATCTATGACAATCTCAGAGCAGAGGTATTCAACTACAGAGAATTCAACAAAGGTTCCCTTTTTTTCTTATGCACTGCATCTGGAGTGTGCGTTAAGAAAATTCGAGCCTTAGCAAATCACCATGACCTCTTGGTGAAAGTGAAAGTTATAAAGCTGGTGGATAAATTCTGATTGGCTATGTACTCTCAAGAATTGAAGAACATTCTTGGTTTTGCAGTCTGGAAGCACTGATAATTGAAAGGTCTTGCTTTTCCTCTTTGCTCATATGGTAAAGAGATGTTTTCCGCTGCTAGTTGTGAATAATGTGTCATCCTAAGTGATGTTATCTGTGAAAGTCACCAGCTTTAAGCTGTACCATTTTATGAATACCAAATAAATAGTCCTCTTGTACTGAAAAGACATTTGTGATTTTAACCGTGCTCCTTGGATGGAAATATTTTTACTGCTTCCTCTGTGTGAATTGACAGTGAACCTATCATGAATAGCCTACCTTTCTATCATTTGTTTTGATGTGAATTTATCCACCAAAGACTTCATTTGTGTATTATCAATAAAGTTGTATGTTTCAAATGACAAAAAAGTGTTCTCATACTTGAATTCAAAATCTAGCTGCAAAGATAGGGCACATAAATACCAAAGGATTAACTAGCAGTCCCCAGGCATATGCTCATGGTCAGATGTGTGCTATCTGGCTAATTGAAGCACAGGTTGCTAAGGAAGCTTCCTGAGAAAGGGTACACTTAAGGTGGGCCTTAAGGGACAGCATGAGAAAACTTAGAAGGGCCTTCCAGGAGGGAAAGTATGTTCCTGTGATAGCAAGGAAACCAGTTTGCCTGGAGTAGAAGCTGTGAGAAGAGGAGTGATGAAAGATAGATGTGAAAATTTAGGCTGAGGCAAGTTTAGGGAATATGCTAAACCCCAAGCTGTGATATTGGAATATTATGCTGTCATGTTCTGGGAATCATTGAACATTTCTGACTAAAGAGAAAAAATAATCTGGTGGCAGTGTGGATTGGAGCTGTGATGGAGGTAGGGGTGGGGACTGGATATGAGAACATTTCTTAGGAAGGTATCATAATGGACTAAGCATGAGGTGATAAAGGGTGAGATAGAATGATGACAATAGGAACCATTAGGGAAAAAATGGTAATAAAGGACTTCTGAAAAAAAAAAAAAAAGAAGTACCAGGATCTGCTAGCTGAGACTTGGCAGTGAGACAATAGAGATGGAGAATTGTATGATCCAGTGTGAGCCCTAACAGAGAAAGGCCTGTTTCTAGGGAAACCCAGTGACCTCCTAAGGCCAAAATGGGTTGCCATTTCAAAGGATGGGAACAAAGCAGCAGGGCAGAAAGAATGATGCTTGGTGCAGATGAGTGTTTGTGGTCTAGGTCAGTCTTCTTTTAGAAGAAGGACAGTGATATGACATTTATGGGAGGGAGATCCCCCTGAGGATCCCCTGACTTCACTTCAGAACAGATGCATCTACCCTTCTCCCCTCCCTGGCCCACTGTAACAATGAGAGAAGGACACGGGAGGTGTCCCAGAGATTTTCTAAAACCAGCCTGCTTTCCTGACATCTTTCCTAAAACCCTCATTTTTATGCCAGGGTATAGTAAGCTGTGACAGGGATACAGATAGGGACTCCAGGGAAGGACTCATATAGGAAAAGGATAGACTGACATCATATATTGGTATAGCTTATTATCTGGAGGGTAATTTGGTAATATGCATAAGTAGTCTTAAAAATACGCATGCCCAATCAAATGACCAATACAGTAACACTAAGGAAAAGGAAGACACAGGTGCACAAAAAATACAGACAACAAAGATAAACACTTTTACATATACAATACCGCATTATCAACATGTTGTTGTTGTTGTTGTTGTTTTTTGCCGTCGAGTCGGCCCTGACTCATAGCGACCCCTCCTTGGGTTTCCGAGGCAGTATCACTACGGAAGTAGGATTGCTCAACCTTCCTTCCGAGGAGTGGCTGGTGGGTTTGAACCACCAGCCTTCTGGTGAGCAGTCAAGTGCCTTAGGCACTATGCTACCAGAGCTCCTATTATCAGCATAGCAAACATTAATCTATGGGCAAACAGATGGGTAGACAGGCTGAATGATCAGCTATGTCTAGGCAAGAAAAAAAAAAGAAAAAAGAATCTGGTGGCAGTGTGGATTGGAGCTGGGATGGAGGTAGGGATGGGGACTGGATATGAGAACATTTGTTAGGAAAGTGTCATAATAGACTAAGCATGAGATGATAAAGGGTGAGATAGAGCGATGACAATAGGAACCATTAGGGAAAAATGGTAACAAAGGACTTCTCCAAAAAAAAGAAGTACCAGGATCTCCTAGCTGAGACTTGGTCGTGAGGCAATAGATATGGAGAGTTGTATGATCCAGTGCTAGTCCTAACAGAGAAAGACCTGTTTCTAGGGAAACTATTTTGACCATATTTAAGATTGGCAGATGATATTTCTATGTATGTATTTGTATGTGCTATAAAAATGTCCATATAAACACATAAACATCTGAGACCATCAGATGGGGGTCAATGAACAGGAGTATACTTGACCAAGGATAGATTCAGTGGAGGCTAATCTTGCACAGATACCAGTGATACAAAATAAACGCAATCCTTACAGAAACAACAGAAGATAGACATAGAGTGATCCCTCACAGACAGCCAGACGCTGTGGGAGAAAGATCAATGGATCTACTGACTCAGGACCATAGTATTGGGAGACACCAGACTCAATTGGTACAACAAAATATATAAAAGTCTTACTCCTCATCCTACACTGGTGAGTAGCGACTGGGGTCTTAAAAGTTTTCAGGCACCATCTAAAATGCAGCTAACGGTCTCCTATCATCGGAAGTGTAAAAGAGCACAAAAAAACAAGGGCATTTGGAAGCAATCAGCCCTAGGACACAATGGCGCTCAAGACCAGAAGAACTAGATGGTGCCCAGCTACCAATGCCAACCACTCAGGAAAGGATTAAATTCAGAGATCCTGTATAGAGTGGGAGGTGAAACATGAGACCCCCAATACTATGGTCCTGGGATACATTCTGGGCCTTGAATAAAACTCATTCCCAGGGGCTGGCTCTCAGCCCAATAGTAAACAAGATGTACATGCAGATCACTCAACCCAGGTGGACACACCCACATACTCTATGGAAATACATCCCTTGGAGCAATTGACCACAGGGCACCAGAGGGGCAACATTTGCATGGAGGAAATGCAAGACAAACAGGAGTGCAAAACTATGAGGGGCACACACACACAAAAAGAATGTCCATATAAACAGAACTAACAAGAGAAAAAGTTATGATAACTCCTTAGGCACAGTCACCCACCTTGATGGAGTGAGTTGTTGAACCTATGGGCTCGGGACCGTGGTTGCAGGGAACATCAAGCTCATTTGGCATGTTGTTGTTATGTGCCATCGAGTCGGACCCGACTCATAGTGACCCCTCCTTGGGTTTCCGAGGCAGTATCACTATGGAAGTAGATTGACCCATCTTCCTTCCGAGGAGTCGCTGTTGGGTTTGAAGTGCCAGCCTTCTTGTTAGCAGTCAAGTGCCTTAGCCACTATGCTACCAGAGCTCTCTCATTTGGCATATTACACAAAAACATTGTTCTACATCCTACTTTGATGAGTATAGACTGAGGTCTTAAAAGCGGCCATTTAGATGCAACAATTGGTCTCCTAGTCTGGAGCAAAGAAGACTGAATAAAATCAAAGATGCATGGAAACAACTGGTCCAGGGGACCAGTGGACCATGCGAACCTCAGCTTATATGACTCTGAGACCAGAAGAATTATGTTAGTTAAATTTGTATGTCAACTTGGTTGGCCCTGGTTGAGTGGCTGGGGAGTTGGTAGTGGTTATTCCCCATGACGAGACTGGCAATCAACTCCATGCTGGGATCTACCACAAGCAGCTGAGTAGCTAGCTGCCTTTGGGATGTGGTCTGCTTCCTGTATATAAGGAGAAACCTTGGGGATAGTCTCTAGCTCATGGCATGCATGGACCCTGCATGTAGCTATGTCATTGTTCAGCAGCCTGCCATGTTCTGCCGACCTTGGGACTTACAGTGGACTTAAATTAATGGCCTGCCGTGTGGTTTGATAACATCAGTTCTGTTCCTTTTTTACTTGTCAACCTTGGGCTTGTTAGCCTCAGCAGCTAGCAGCTGTCTGAGTGAAGACATGCCTCTAGCTCCAGTGGGCCAGGAGCAGGAGGTAGAGTTGGACCTCAAGGTTGAGGGGCTTTCACCCAGCCCCTAGAGCCTGGCACTTTGAACTTGGACTTAAAACCTCCCAAACTATAAGAGAATAAACTCTTGTTTGTTAAGGCCATCCCATTTGTGATATATATTTTTGTCAGAGCAACACTAGGTAACCAAAACAAACTAGATGGTGCCCAGTTACCACTGTCAACCGTTCAGAAAAGGATTAATGCAGGAGATCCTGGATGGAGTGGGAGAACAATGTGGAATAAAACTCAAAATCATAATAAATGACCAGATTTACTGGTCTGATAGAGCCTGATGAGATGCCCAAGTCTATGGCTCCTAGTTACCCTTCAGGCTTGGAATTGAACTCACTCCCATGGCTTCCAGCCAAGCAATAGATAGGCATATGGGGTGAACATTTACACCAGATCAATCATGGGAGTTCAGAAGTGCAGTATTTGCACAGGGAGAGAGCTCAGGGGTCTGGAATACATAGGAGAGAAGGAAACAAGGAAGAGGTAACTACAAGGACGAAGTGGGAAGAGAGCTGTTTCATTGTGGGGTTTTCAGTCAATGTCATGAAACAAAATATGTATAAACTGTTGTACAGAAAATGAATTTGCTCTGTAAACTTTCACCCAAATCACAACAAAAAAACTTTTAAAAAATGTGCATGCTCTTTGTCCAAGCATTCTATTTGTGAGATTTTTCCCCTAAGGAAATAATCAAATAATTTTACAAGAGATATATACAAAAACAGTCATTTCAGCACTGCTTCTAAGAGTGAAAATAACTTTAAGGAATTGACTAAACAATAGGTGGTACAATATTATGCAACTATTAAAAACTGTGATGTACTATATTTATTGGCATGAAAGACATTCATCATATGCCTGTGCCATCAGTCAAAAAAGTTCACACAATT